TGTGACAGCCTGTTGGCTTTCTGGTCATCTTGAAAGACCCAACGAGAAAAACTGTAACACCGTTCGTGCAAGGACCAGCGAACGTCTCAGCAAATTAGGAAAAAAAAAAAAAAAAAAAAAAAAAAGGAAACACATCCGACATTTCAACAAATTAGAAAACTGAAAAAAATCCAAAAAAAAGGCTATGTTATGCAAAAAAATAAACTGAACAACTTTCTTTTTTTTTCATTTTAACGAAAAAATAGCATCTTTATTGCCAAATTATAACTCGGGGTCTCATCGAAATTCTTTACCAAATTGAAAATAAAAGGCAAATGGATTCAGACCACTCTGGTAGCCAAGGGGGACATATAGTGATCTTGTTCATTTTAGTTCCAATCTTCAGGTTATATTTTGTCTGACTGGCACAGTCATGCTTTTCCTGAGTGTATAGCAACTATGACAACACACACACACACACACACACACACACTCAACCTTCTAATGAGTACTAGGTGAAAGTCCGACGAAACAGTCTGGCACAGTTATGCTTTTTTATAGCGAAAATGACAGCACACACACACACACACACACACACACACACACACACACACACACACACTGGCACACACTCACACACATATTCACTATAGAACTGTATTAAGTGGGTATGTCACAGTTCCTTTTGGGTAGTTCTATGCGGGGTGTGTGTGTGTGTGTGTGTGTGTGTGTGTGTGTGCTGTCATATTCGCTATACACTAAAAAAAAAGCATGACTGTGCCAGACTGTTTAGTCGGACTTTCACAAAGTACTCATCAGGAGGTTGATTGAGTGTGTTTTGTTTTTCATTGTTTTCTTCATTTTTTTTATATCTTTATAATTTTTTGATATTCTTTCAGATTGTTTCATCAATTCTTTCGTCAAGTTTTTCATCAATATTTTCAGGAAAGATCACAACCTAATCTACAGGATAATATTTTTTCAGATTTTTTCGTCAATTCTTCTGAGCGTGAAAAAATCGCCAAAGTTGGCGCTTCAAAATCCTTGGACCGGACCCGCCTGCGCCTGCCGGTCGCCATTCCCCCTAAGAACCCGGTCCGTAAGGCCAGTAAAGTCGAATTTAAGCCAGCGGGGGTAGTGATGGTCTGACACACGTAAAATATTTGCAAGAACAGCAATCATAGTTGTTATAGAACAGAAAGCTGTGGCAACGGTGGGGGTGCCCACATGTGAAATGTAACTGCAGCCATTTTCCATAAAAACCCTACAGCAATAAATAAGGAAGAAGATAAGCAGGTCCCCTCAAAGGGGGATCGACCCCGAGGCCACTTCTTGAAAGGGTAGAATGGCAGGTAGGGGTATGGGTGAAAGGGGCCTCATGCGACTGCAGGAAGGGCAAAGTCAAAAATGGGGTTATGCAATTAAGGGGTCACGTGTGATTCACTTGAATTCCGTCCCAATCACCCGTGTGGACTATTTTTGCCCAAGACGGGCTTTCTATTGTGCCGACCCCGTCGGGATAGACACCACAGCGACATCCTAACTGACTGATGGAAGGGTACAACGAGGGGTGGAGGTATGGGTGAAAAGGGTCTCATGTGACGGCAGGAAGGGTGGAGTGAAGGGCGGGGTTCTACAACTAAGGGGTCATGTGCGATTCACTTGAAATGCATCCTAAAGACCCGTTCACTGTTTTCCCCACTACAGGCTTTCTATTGGGGGGACCACCGAGGAAGTAAATGGGAACAGGTGGGTGATGAATGGTGGAGAGAGAGTCACTGCTATAGGGGACTTCACTGAACCTCCCTCCCCTCACTTGGAGTCGACACCATGGCTGGGAGGCCTCTTGCTTCAAACGGACACCATAGCTGCCCTCCCACATGCTTTAAGATGTGTATACAGAGTGCGAATGGGTGAAGAGTAGTGGGTTGGAAATCTCGAGTGTTTCTTGATGATGCTGATGACTGTGTTCTGTGGTCGGCCGCTGAGCGGGGTGCTTCTCGCTTCGCAAAGGTAGAGAGAGAAAAAGAAGAAGAATAAAACGGTAGGCAGCGCAGTGAAGGCAGAGAGATGGTTGCTGTTAGGGGACTCAGCTGTCACCCAAGCTTTGCCTCTCTCTCTGTTTGCAATTGCCACAACAGCTTCCCCTCCTAAACGACTGCGAAATCAAATCTCCACAGGTGGAAGGGGGGGTAGCAGAGAGCTCTCTTTTTTTGGACAGCCCTCTTTTTCCTCTTAAAACACCAGTACTTCCTAAAGTCGCGTAGCGCTAACGCTAAGCAGCCGCCGTGGGCTGAGATTGGGGGGCTCATTCGACACTCCTCGGGCGCCGAAATTCCCCAAGGAATTCGTCGTTCCACTCATCCTCGGGGAAGATTTGAAAAAAAAAAAGTGAAAACATTTTCTCGGGGATTCCTCGGGGAATCCTCGGGCTACAGCCATTTTGGCAATTTCCCCAAGGGACCTCCCGAGGTCTCTTGGAGGTCGAGCATCCGGAAGAATCGGGGCATCGACGGCAGCTCCCTCGACGACATTTTGGGAGCTGCCGACATATTTCGATCCCATCTGGTCCATCGGTGGTCCTGCCTGCGTCACCACGGACATAAGAAGCACCTGCCTGCGTCACCACGGACATAAGAAGCAACATAAGCAACACGCGTCTGCAAAGGGGGAGGAGGCGAAACCCATCGCCGTGTGTGTGTTGACATGTTCTCTTTTTCTTTTTTCTATTTTTAATTGTCATGCTCTCTATACACACACCTCAACATCCCCTCTGATGGCTGGAGGGAGACAACAAAGCTATGTTTGCAGTGGTCCCCTGTCTAAGCCTTAGGAGTAGTGGTAGGTAGGTAGTGAAGGTGAATTTGAAAGAATGTGAAAGATGACAAGGACGGCAGATAGTCTGAGAGACTAATCTAACAGCAGTAGAACCCACTCTACACATCCACTCGGCCATGGACGCGTGCGCGCGCGCGCGTGTGTGTGTGTGTGTGTATCTTGCTTGTGTGTGTGTGTGTGTGTGTGTGTGTGTGTATCTTGCTTGTGTGTGTGTGTGTGTGTGTGTGTGTGTGTGTGTGTGTAGGACGGCAGTAACTCTGAGAGACTAATCGAACAGCAGTAGAACACACTCTACACACCCACTCGGCCATGGACGCGCACGTGTGTGTGTGTGTGTGTGTGTGTGTGTGTGTGTGTGGGTGTGGGTGTGGGTGTGTGGGTGTGGGTGTGGGTGTGTGGGCGTGTGTATCTTGCTTGAAACTTTAGGGTGAGGAAGAGGGGGAAAATGATGATAATGTAATGATGATGATGAACGGAATGATGATGATATTGAAGATCAGGGGAGCATGGTAAGAGCCGGGAGATCATGAAAACGTCCGGATCAGGTGCAAGATGACGAGTACGATGTAGACCAGATGATGGGGACGAGACCCGAGGAGGACGTGACAAACAGCGGAACAGGCGCAGAGACAGCAGACTCTGAACGGTCGATTTGAAGTCGGGATCCCTGACGTGACAAACAGCGGAATAGGCGCAGAGACAGCAGACTCTGAACCGCCGATTTGAAGTTGGGATCCCTGTAGAACCGCTTCTTCTAGCAATAGGCGCGTCACTAAAAGATTGCACAAAAAAATCCCAAAGAAATTTTCCAAGATTAATAAAGAGGACGAGCATGCGGGTCACGAGCAGGAGGGCGGGAAAGCGCCAAACAAGGGAGGGGGGCGGAGAGAAAGATAACCACAAAGGGGGATTATGGATGAATTTTCAATCAAACGATTTCGACTGAACAAAGAAACAAATCATCTTTAGCAGCATCAGTTCCCACACAGCAACGGATCGTGGTCTTCCCCTGCAGTTGTACCAAAAGAACCATCATCACCATCATCATCATCGTCATGAAGATTTGAACCTCTCGTGTCGGATCCGTCAATGTCATTCGACTAGGGAGAGAGAGAGGAACATCCCGAGAGAGAAAAGAGTCAAATTGAAAGAGAGCGAGGCAAGCTTTGAGCGAAAAAGGGAGAGAGAGAGAGAGAGAGAGAGAGAGAGGCATATCAAGAGAGAGTGCCAGACAAAGGCACTGAGAAAAGATGCAAGGGGGGGAAGGAACAGACAGACAAACAGGCAAAGAAGAGATAGAAGAGGGGGGAAGGGGAGGGAAGAGAGTCGTCTAACACAGTCAAGGACGGGAGACATGATAGATAGGCAAGCAGATACGTCGCTGGACCGATGATAGATAGAAGAAGAACAGATAAGGACAGAGATGGCGACAGAAAGACAGTGGGCGCCCAGAACAAAAGAAGAGAGTGGCATAAGAGGGAGGAAGAGGGAGAGAGCGATAGAGTCACATCAGAGAGGAGGGGGGGGGGGAGACAGAGGGAGAGAGAGAGAGAGAGAGAGTGGAGAGACTGGAAAGTGAGAGGGGTACAGAAAGGGCAAAGAGAGGAGAAGGGGAGGGAGAAAAGAGGGATAAAGCAGAGCGAAGGGAGGCGAGAGCGCTCATATAAAGAGGGGAAGGGTGGGAGCGACCGTTTCCCTCCCTCCCTCTCGTTCTTCCCCAGCACCAACCACTTCTTTCTTGATAGCCCGAGTTTCATACAGTATCCATAACGCCAAAGGTAGTTGAAATAACGCGAATCCGCACGGGAAAAGGTGGCGAGAGAGAGAGGGAGAGGAAAGACAGGGATCACAAGAGGAGGGTGAGAGAGAGAAGAGGAAGAGAGAGTGCCCTCTTCCCCCCCCCCCCCCCCATTTGTCTTCTGTACCCTCCCCGTATTTCTTCTGTACCCTTCCGTACGTTTTGCTACCCTTCTTTACCCTCCCCTTCTGTACCCCTTCTGCACCCTTTTGTACCCCCCTCCCCTTCCGTGCCCTCTGCTTCCGTAGCCTCCCCACATTCATCCCCCCCCCCCCCCGACTCCACCACTCTTTTCCTTAATCAAGCCCAGGTTCATCAAGTATCCATTCCGCCGATGCTTGTCGGGATAACACGATTCAAAGAGTAGAAAGCAAAGAAACAAATCGCCGTAAAGACAATAGATCGCACTGTATTGTTTTCTTGAACCTCCAATGCCAGAAAGACAGATCCTCCGACAGATAGGATAGGAACACACTCCAACGCTAGCAGACAGAAACACACTTCTCGAACAGAGCTTTGGACCTCCAGCCCCTCCCCTGAAATGCGCAAGCAATCCTACAGATCACATGGACAATCAACACTTCTCTAAACTCTGAAAAAACATTTCGTTTCCTTAAGGGTTGATTGTCCTTAAAATCGCAACTCTTCGTTTCCTTAAGAGGAAAGTCTGCTGGCCAGAAAGGACAAAAGTTGCGACTCTTCGTTTCCTTAAAATCCTCCTCAAAGCAGGACAAAGATTGCCGCTCCGTAATTCCAAAAAACTGTGTCCGAAATTCTCGAAGTGTGTATTCAAACTTGGGAGTACATGAGCAACAATTGAACTACATACATCCAACATAAAATGGCTAGCACGCCACCAGAGAATCACAACCGCCTTCATTCATCTCTCTTGATGAGCTAAACTAGTTTCTGCAAACGGAACACAAAAGGGCTCGTCGGATCTTACACAACAATTCCACACAAGCCCATTCACTCAATTCTCTCCTCGCATACATCCCACACCACCTTTCCCTCTCTCTCTCTCTCTCTCTCTCTCGGTGTGTGTGTTTGTATATCATGGTACATTTCAATTGCCGCTAATTCGAGAGATAAAAGGAGGGAACGTTAGCAGTGCTCCAATAGCTGGAGTCATGCTGGTAAATGGCCACGAGACCAGAGCTTGCTCAAAAAATCTCTTCTCTTCCAGTCATTGCTAGTCTGCACTAAGAAACAAAATCACTTCTCCTCCTGCTACTGCCCCCCCCGCCTTGCGACGACCGAAAAGTACGCTCACGATTCAGAATACAAAAGGCTGGCACTGTCTTCTTACCCTTGGCCTCCATACATCCACACAGCCCATAAGCAACCACCACCTGCTCTTACTGCCACTAGCAGAGTCCACCACCACTAACAAGTCCAAGAAAAGATACACGACGAGATGGGATTCTGCCGATATCATACATCATAGCGACCGCACCAGATCACAGTATTCTCCCCGTCGGATTCCTCGGTGGAACAACCCGGTTCTGTCCAGCAAGCAGCAATAAACCATATTCATTTACCACACGCCAATTCTTCCTCCTCTTTCTCTCTCGCTCTTCATCCTCCATCCACTTCTACTGAAATAGTGCAGCTTCTCTCTCTGTGAAAGATTTTCTGCGTCCGACTCCACTCCCTAAAGATAGCTCGTGAAACCTCACTCTTCTCCCGAATGATCACACGTGGAATCTCTCTCTCTCTCTCTCTCTCTCTCTCTCTCTCTCTCCGTGAAAGATTTTCTGCATCCGACTCCACTCCCTAAAGATAGCTCGTGAAACCTCACTCTTCTCCCGAATGATCACACGTGTAATCTCTCTCTCTCTCTCTCTCTCTCTCTCTCTCTCTCTCTCTCTCTCTCTCTCTCTCTCTCTCTGTGTGAAAGATTTTCTGCGTCCGACTCAACTCCGAAAGATAGCTCGTAAAACCTCACTCTTCACCCGAATGATCACACGTGCAATCTCTCTCTCTCTCTCTCTCTCTCTCTCTCTCTCTCTCTCTCTCTCTCTCTCTCTCTCTCTCTCTCTGTGTGTCTGACTTCACTGCCTAGAGATCGCACGGGTAAAAACTGCCGCGATAGGGACGGACGGGACGGGATCCGATCGGTCTTGAGAAGGCCAATCTCAATTTCTTGTGATGCCAAGGTTGACCAACACAAATCGCAGAATTGCACATCCCTTCCCTGGAATAATAAATAGCCCAAAGCGTTTCATGGGACTAGGAATGACCTCGTCGTGCACACGGAAGATTCACAAGCTGGCTATCTTTCCCACCCGCCATCTAATCCCTGATCGGCGATTTCCAGCCCCCGAATCCAACTCCTCCACCTCAACCTCCTTGCAAATTTTCCCCCCTCCCCCCCCCCCCTTCCTCCTCTTCTTCCTTCCCCAACCCCTTCGTCTCTGTGACACTTTATCTCAAAAGCCCATTGCAACACTAGAGAAGATCCAAACCGCCAAATCACCACCGCAATTTCACATCAAATCCAGCCCTCCTCTCAAACAATATAGCCTACCTGCCCCCACATTCTGGACTATGCCAAACTTACCTACCTACCTACATTCTCCATTGTGCCAAGCTTCATGAAGTCGGGTTAACAACAACCAAGTGATGGGCCTTTGTCTCAGATGTTCCATCCCTAGTGTACCCCCTCTCCGCGACCCCGAAAGGTCCTACAACGCCGTCGATTAGTTCCGCGAGTCAAACACTCCCCCTGCATATTTTCGTAATTAACAAACATGCAAATCAGCCGGCTACATAAGTAGAATGCACAGGACGCCAAACACACCAGCTACCCAGGATCTCAGCCGCTCAATCTCGACGACGCTCCTAAACCCTAAACCAACACCACCACCAATCACTCCGTTCTCATTCACGAAACAGTTCGTCCGCTACACCGGATTACAGCGCCCGAACCTCCGCCTCTTAGGCCTTGGATCTACCACAAATCACTCCGTCCCTATTTAAAATCCCCCTCCCTACTTATTCACCCCCGCTCTTGAGCCTTAGCAGTCTCTTTTCAGCCCCAGCTTTGCGACTGGGACCATCTTTGGGACTGAACTCAGCTGCTGCACCGCCGTCAGCCCCTCGCTCAATTCCAATCGCCGACCCTTAACATGCCCCATCGCTGCTAGCGTGACCCCCGCTCTTGTTCATCCTTACCACTCTTTTCCATGCCAGCTTTGGGACTAGGTCCACCAGCTTTGGGACTGGGGACAGCATCGAGACTGGACTAGGCTGCATCATCGCCGTAAGATCCTCGCTATCTTAAAATCCGAGCCGCCCATCAGCATGATGCCCCATTGCTGCTGGCATGACCCCCCCCTCTTAATCCTTACCACTCTTTTCCGGGCCATCTGGGACCAAAGCCAGCCTTGGGACTGGGCTCCGCTGCATCGCCGTCAGTTCCTCGCTCCACTACAATCGCCGACCATCAACATACACCATTGCTGCTGGCACGACAGCTATCGTTAACCGACCGAGTTGGTGACACTCGTCTACATACTGTATCTCACTATAGACCCCAACCGATCAAATCAAAAATCAAAACCTACCCCTCGCTTACATGTTCCTCTCAGCCATCTTCCTCCGAGCACCGTCTTCTCTCTTAATTACCTGAAGAGTTTAACCCACCAAGACCCCGTACCTTCTGAAGCGACAGGAGAAAGGGGTCGGTCGGGGAGGAATCAAAGAACGGATGGGCAAGGGTGGGGGTGGGGGACGCATGTGGGACAGGAGAAAGGTGTCGGGGAGGAATCAAAGGTGTCTGTCTTGTGAGGCCGAAGTTCCCTTCTCATCAGGACACGTCCAAGAACGGCGGAAAAACGAGATCAACCTAAAGAAAAACACTAATCAAGGCGATTGATTGCCCATCTTCACCCCGTTACCAGCCCCTTCTTTAGAGAGGGCAAGAGCTGCAGAAGCGTGCGCCGGGGGAGCAGGCGTGGGGGAAAGGCGCGCGGGTAAAGAAGGGGGGGGAAGGAGGAGGAAGGGGAAACCGGCAGGGAAACCGGCAGGGAAACCGGCAGGGGAGCAGATCTACGTTGTTCTGGGCCCAAAGCCCTCTCCACGACGACATGATATCAAAGAACAACGGAAAAACGAGATAGAAGGAAAGGAGCACACTCGGCAAGGCGGTTGCCCATCATCATCATCATTATCATCATCATCATCATCCGGCTGCCAATCCCTTTTAGTGGGGAGGGCAAGAGGTGAACCGGCCCTGATCTAGTGCGGCCGAAGCTTTTATTTGATTGATGGCTAATCATACCCCAGGACAACCAGAGATTCGTTACATCAACAAGCAAGAGCCGCCACTAACAGAGGAAAGCGGCAATTCCAATATGCCGGCAAACATGCGGCTGACGAAGCAACAAGCCGACGGCGCCCAGGGCAGACCCGTTAGACCAAGCAGTGCAAAGGAGAAATCCTATATTCAACAATAAGAAGACGCCTACAAAACCTACCGTTGTCCATTACTCTACTTCTTTCCTCTCTTGCCTCCCTTTCTTGGAACAGCGCTGGCTTTCTCACTGTTCTTWKCCCCCCCCCCCCCSCCCCSCCSYYCSCCYCCSSCTTGCCTTTCTTCTTCGGACCAGATGCCGGGCTTTGAGGTGATGCATCCTCGATCTCGACATCATCGCTGTCCGTCTTCGATCTGCCGCCGTTCGATCTCCCGTAGGACTTGACTGGCGTTACTCCTTTCGTCTCCGCCGCCGGGGAGGCCGGTTCCTCCACTGCTGCAGCCTCTGCTACCCGACCCTTCTTCGGCGTGCTCCCAGTAGCTGCAACGACTTCAGGAGCCTGCACGCCCACAACCTCCTCCCCCTCTGCTGCTACTGCCTCACCACCCCTTCTCTTCTTCCTGCCTCTCGCTGAGACTCCGTTACCTTCGGGTAATGCCGAATCCTCCTTAGCGACCGCCTTCGACCTGCCTTTCGCTGGACTCGCCTGCCTCAACGACTCAGACTTGTCCTCCTTCAGCGCCGCCGCCGCCTTGCTAGTCGTCGCCTTCGGTTTCGCAGCCTTGGGTTTCACCTCCTGCTTGCCGCCTTTCGCTCCCTTTGCCTTGGCCTCCTTCCCTTCGCCATCTGCCTCTGCTGCCACTTGGACAGCAGCAGCAGCCTTCGTCCGCTGCTTGGACTCCGTCGGTTGTTGCTTCGCATCCTTTGCTGCGTTTGCAGTCTTCGACACCTTAGCGACCTTTGGCGCCGCTCCTACACCCGCCTCCTTGCCAGAGGAGGAGGCGGAGGAGGCTTTAGTAGATCTGCCTCTTGTGGCCTTCGTATCCTTGGAAGATTTGCCCATCTTCACAGCAGCAGTCTCCGCCGCCGCCGCCGCCGCAGCCGCAGCCGACGACGTCGCATTCTTCTCCTTCTTCTCCTTCTTCTCGACCTTTCCCTTCTTCTCCTTCTCCGATTTCTTCTCCTTCTCCGATTGCTTCTCCATCTTCTCCTTCTTTTCCTTCTTCTCTTTCTCCTTCTTCTCCTTCTTCTCCTTCAGGTCGGCCTTGTCTGGCTTCTTCATCTCGTCACTCAGCTTGAAACTGTTCTTGATCTTCAGACATCTGCCCGTCTTCACAAGCTTCTTCAGTTGGCGGTAGAGCATGGGCTTGAAGTTAGGTGGCACCTCGTATTTCCCCTCCACGAACTTGGCTATGGCGTACGTACTCGACCCATTGCGCTCCTTCAGCGACAACAGCGCTTCCTTTATCATCTTTACGTAAGGAGGGTGGGCCCGTCCCGCCTTCGCCGCCTCGCTATCAGAATCTTTCCCCATCGTCTTCGACTTCTTCGCTTTCACTTCTTTCACGACCGCGCCTCCGCCCGAGTCCGCCGTACCGCCTGTCTCTTATACACATCTAGATGT